ATAATAAAAATTAGGTCTTATTGGCTAAAGCCAGTTACATGGCCAAGCTTCAGCTCAAAGGACAGGGTAGTATGTTCCCCTCATCACAAGCTACAAGAGTTCTGAGACATAATCCTACATCTGTAGGTCGGTTCACTGAGTATTCATTTCTTTTACTGCTACCTTACTGGGGATGAATGAAAGACTTGGATTTCTTGCCAGCAGTTTTAGCCTATAGGAAGCAAATCACTGCGCTATAAACCCATGTAGTTGTGCCTCCTCCAAAGTTTACAATTCAGAAGTTATATTGGCTGAGCTGACTTGGGAGAAAATCAGAGGTTTAAGGGAAAATCTTGTTTATTTTACTAGGCAGTTTGCCTATGATCGATCGATCTATCTATCTATCTATCTATCTATCTATCTATCTATCTATCTATCATCTATCTATCTATCTATCTATCTATCTATCTATCTATCTATCTATCATCTAAAATGGAGGGCTCCTTTTCTGCATTTTCAGCAGGGTGGGCTCTTGGAACCACCTTGTTCTCCTAAAGAACAGGCTAGGCTCTTGGGTTTATGTTTCAGACCTGCCATGAAAGGTACTGAAATGTATGTGAATGGTGATGTGTGTGAAAAGCTCCCAGGAGGAATTCCTCACAGTACAGACTCTGAGACAATTACAACAAAACACTTCCCGGGAACAATGGCTACAGAATGCTATTCTGTAGCCCATGATGGCAAACATTTCCACTTCCATAAAATTGACATACTCCAAAAAACAATTAAAAAGGACATTTCGGAATCCTTTTTGTTGTTGTTGTTCCTGATTGTTTTTTTTTTCTGTGCAATTGAATCTTTGTTTTATTTGTTCTTATTTAGGTCCGAAGGGGTTTCCAGGTCCCCCTGGAACTCCAGGAATGAGATGTCCAGATGGGCAGAAAGGCCAGCAGGGCAAGCCAGGAAGTCCTGGAATTCCAGGTCCACCTGGTAATTAAAGGCTTTCCCTGCCTTGGGAGCATTTCATCAGGAATTTTTGTGTATTCCTAAAGATGAGCACCCATAAGGAAATGGCAAGGGATCTGGAGATAATAGAGGGATGATTCTTTGGGGGCAGGGAGGTGACACAGACCTCAGCTGTGCTGTGACATCTTGTAGATGAACAGAATCCTATGCATCTGAGACCCCTTCCAGGGGGAATCCTTAGCCGTCGGCAGTCACATGACTGTGTGGTCGACACAGTCCAGGGCAGTGTCTGGACTGGGTGGTCAGGAGGCTAGCACAGTGGCACTCAGCTGGCATCCCAGCACTCCAGATGTGGAGGCAGGAGAATCACCTTGAGTTTTAGCCTATCCTGGGATATTTACGATGGTCCAGGGCAGCCTAGGCTAGAGAGTGAGACCCTGTCTCAAAAACAATATAAACAAATAAAAGTAAAAGAATTTTTTTAAGAAGGGGGATGGTAGGCTGGCCCAGTGAGTAAAATTTGTTTGCCACCAGGTTCTATGACTTGAGTTCCATCTCTGGGTCTCTCACAAGTTGTCCCCTGACTTCCCTGTGTGCCTGTCTGCCTTCACACATAAATAAATAAATTTAAAAAGACAAAACAGCAACAATAAATAACAATTGGTGTTACTTATAGAGTGGCAAAAGAATATTACCTATTGACCTATTGAGTCTCTAAAGTCCTAGAAATGTAAGTACCACTTAAGCTTGCCTGTTTTTTTTTTTTTTTTTTTTGGTTTTTTTGAGACAGGGTTTCTCTGTAGCTTTGGTGCCTGTCCCAGAACTAGATCTTGTAGACCAGGCTGGCCTCGAACTCCCAGAGATCTGCCTGCCTCTGCCTCCGAGTGCTGGGATTAAAGGCGTGCACCACCACCGCCCGGCTTGCCTAGGGCTTTTAATCAAAGCATTGTCCTTATACTGTTGGATCTATATTAGTACATATAGCAGTTTGTTATTGTTGTTGAATAGGTTTTCGTGGTGACATGGGAGATCCCGGCATTGGAGGCGAAAAGGGGACCTCCCCTAGTGGACCCCCAGGTCCACCTGGGTCTCCTGGAATGGATGGCCAGAAAGGAATCCCAGGAGACCCTTCGTTTGGTGACCCAGGACCCCCTGGAGATAGGGGTCTTCCAGGAGTTCCAGGCATGAAAGGAAGCAAAGGTTACCCAGGATGCCCAGGGTTTGAAGGTATGAGGTCTTTGTTGTCTATTAGAGGATGTCTGCTCAGCTTTGGCCTGGTCCAGAAAGAACGTTTATACTGTAGCACTTCAGTCAGAAAGTGCATGGACATTTATTTTATGATTACAAATAAGGACTGATCACATTAGATGAACCTACACACACACACACACACACACACACACACACAGACAGACACGTGTACCTGTGCCCTTACTGCATGTTTGCAAATGCGGGGTCGCGGTGAATTAATCCACTCAGCTATATCCAGGCTGTGTTTGCTCCAAAAGCCATTGACAGCAAGGGTTGGGTAACCTGCCACTGCCAGTGCCAGACCCAGGCAGATAGTCCAATGTGAGGTCTGGCTACTTGGGCTTAGCAGGGAGGCTTGAGTCTTAACAGACTCCACAGAAGTCCAATAGAAATTTGAAAGGAGAGCTGACAAAACCTCCCACCAAATGCGCATTCACGCAGCTTGCATCAGGTGCACCTTATATGCCTGGGTGCAATCTGCTGCAGAGGTGGAGGGTGATAGAATGAGGAAAGCCTATGGTCACTTGCTGCCCTCAGTAACCTCTTAGTAAGCCATCCATAAGCTTATCAAGCAACTCACTTAGCAAGGTGTGGTTTTCATACTCACTCGGAGCCGTATCTATGCTATGAAAATTCATTCCGAGTGTTAGCTCATGGAGCCCAGAGTCAGAATCAAATTGTTTGTTTCTGGAATCGACATGCCTGAGGGAGGCTCTAGGCCCCCTGTACAGTGCGGACTCATGAGTGTCCTTAATGCATCATCTTTTCAGGGCCACCTGGCAACCCTGGATCTCCAGGTCTCAAAGGTCCCAAAGGCAGACAAGGAAGTCCTGGGTTTCCAGGGATCCCAGGACCCCCTGGTCATTCCTGTGAAAGAGGTGCTCCAGGGACCCCAGGACAACCAGGACTTCCTGGAGCTCCTGGTAGTCCAGGTAAGTGCCACCAAGTGTCAAAATATGAAGCTTCTGGGCGTTCCCTCCTTACAGTCGGGAAGCTTGCCTCTCACTCATGTTTGGCTGTCAGCAGAATCATGATTTGGAGACAAAAATACCCTTCATTCATAAATTTCTTCTTGGTCTGTGTCATTTCCCCAACCAAATTCTTGTCAGGCCACATGTATGGAGCTGGCTAGTGGCTGCACACAGGGTGGGTTGTAGTATATGCAAGTTTAGGAAGCATCGCTTCTCAGCAGCCTTCAAGTGGAAGGAAAGTGCAGCATCCGCTGTCAAAGCTATTCCTGCAAACATGGCCTTGGGAGTTGCCCCGGGTGATGACCAGGACCTGACAGTCTTGGCACAAGAATGAGTGTGTGTCTTCTCACACGGGTGTTCAGGGGCTCCTCCCATCCCCTGGGCCGACTATCACAAAATGCCTGTGATTGAGCAATTTCTACGCAACAGAAATTGATTAGGAGAAGGCTAGAAATTTTGAGATCAAGACCCCAGGAGTTTTGATATCTGGTGAGGAGATGTCTCTTTCTAGTGTCCTTGTGCAAACTACCACAGACCTCTCTCATGTTCACACTTAATCATCTTCAAAATTCTCTACCTCTCCCATTGGTGGTTAAGATTCAGCACGAGAAGTTCGAGGAGAACGTTCAGCCCACAGCAGGAGCTATCTCCACTATGTTCTTCATTTCATTGCTGGGGTCATTCATTCTGTAATGTATCTGTTTCTACTTTAATCCAAATGCAAGATGTCCATTTGAGAAGCCAGGCAAGTTTGGGACAGAGTTTGCTACTACAACCTCATCTCAAGAGTCAGTCATTCTGACTGTTCTGTTTTGTACAAATCTTTCACCATAGTTGTTAACAGTCTATCTGAAGTTCACTGGGGCAAAGGTTCTGAAGGTTCTGGGAAACTTTCTTCTTCTTCTTCTTCTTCTTCTTCTTCTTCTTCTTCTTCTTCTTCTTCTTCTTCTTCTTCTTCTTCTTCTTCTTCTTCT